TACCAACTATATAAAAAAAAAAATTAATATTTTACACAAGAAAGAGAGAAAATAAACATAAAATCTTGTTTTAAAAAAGACAAGTACTCACCCGACATATATCCCCATCAGCCAACTCCAACATGTGAGAAGGGCCCTTACCAGACATCCGAGCGCGGTCGTACTCACGAACGAATCCCTCGGTACTCAACATCGGCAAATCATGGCCCGACACATCCCAATACGAATCCTTCCCTTCACGATTCACGCCAAAGGTAAACAATTGTTTCCCTGCCCCACCATGGAAAGCATAAGTCTTCTCTGGGTCTACCCGTGGACGCTTGGGCACAGCCACATACTCAGTATCTACCCTCTTTCCCTTGCCACGATCTCTCGTAGGCGTACGCCCCTCCACTTCACCAGCACAGCTACGGTCGTCTTCAATCAGTCGAGGAGTCTCCACATGGACCGTCTCTCGAGGCAAACCACCCGAAGAACCTCCCAACGTAGAGGGAACCTTCCTCGATGCCTCCTTCGACGTCCCATTCGCCTTAGCTCGAAGTGCCGCAAAAGTGATACACCCATCTACAAAAGAAAACAACCACATAAGAGACATGAGATATATACCACCAAAGAACAACACTAAAAAAAAAAAAAGAAAAAAAAAAAAACAAGTCAGTACGACAAAAGGATATATGGTGCTGACCATCCGGTATCAAACACCTCAGGTCAAATTCCACATCACACAGCCTAGACTCTTCAATCCTCTTCGCCATATTCGCAGTAATCGTGAAACTCTCGCACGTAGGTTTCAAACTAGGGGGACGTCGAAAGTGGGAGCCCTCACATAAAAGAAATGGGACTTCCATTTCCCCAAAGATAACTTGACACTTTTCAAAAATTGGTAGGGAACACGAGGATGAACGCAAAAGAACAGCAGCTTAGTTGGCCGATGCAATGTAAATAACGCCTTAAACAAACTCACAGTAACAGGCAGACCTACTCGAGACACTCTATAGTGAAACGCCTCAAACATCAGAACCGCTGTCGGGGTTAACTGACTATACCCTATCTTAAATTCCTCACAGATCTTGAACAAGGTCGGATGCGAAGTAATTTGAGATGTACACGTCACGTACGCCAAGAAAACCGTATGAAACCCATCGGGTGGCGAATATAAACGATCGCCCTTCTGAGGCAACAGCAACTCGATATTTCTTGGCGCCTCAACTAGTCGACGAATAGACTGCAAATGATCTTCTGTCAATACACTATCAAAATCAATTAAATCAAAATTAATTGGCTTAATTTTCTTTTGCCTCCTCGTACCAATCTCAACATCACCCGACGGAATATCAGCTTCCTCTTCTACTTCAACAATCGGATCAATTTCACTACTCGGCCCCGCGGGATCACTCAACCCATGTGAGGGATTTGACTCATCACTATCACTACCAAAATCCACGACATGACGCCCATAACGACGTCTACTAGAACCAACTTCGTCAATAGTGGGACAAAGATTAACAGTTGGCTCCAAATCATCACTCCATGAAGCCACCGCTTCTCGCCAATCACGTTCGACCCCTCGAGAATTATCGTCGACTTCAAATCGCGAATTTTGCTCGTCGCACGCGTTAAAACGGAGGTCGGAAGACGCCTCACGTGCCCGCCACGCGCCCCCATACGCTGCTGACGCGCGCGCGTCAGCTCCCAGACGCTGCCCACACGCGCGCTGATTCAACGATGCACCGCACGCGCGCGCACTACCCCCCAGACCCGCAGCTGACGCGCGCGCGTCACTCCACCGCCTCCCAGCCTCGATGCGCGCGCGCGTCCCTCGTTTGGTGCGCCCGACGCGCGCGCGTCATCCATCACCATCGACCCACGTGGCTGATTCGGCGGCTCCGCGGCTCCACTCGGCTCCAAGCTTGCCTCGAAGCGCGCACCCTCTCTCACACAGGACCGGCCGGCCGCTTGGCTCGAGCCAACGCCCGTGGCCGACCCTGCTACAGCTCCTCTTTTCTTCTTAATTCGAGGACCGACTATCGGGGAATCGATTTTCGCACCCGATACTACTATCTTCTCGCGTTCCATACCCACCGTACCAAAAGGTTTCTCGCCCCCTTCAACCGGATCTCGAAGTTTAATTCGCAAAGATTGAGACTTACTCGGGTTCGACATGATAAATATTTTTCTCCGAAAAAACAATCAAGAAACAAAAAATTTCTACTCTACCACAACAAATTTTTTAGAGAAGCAAGAGCACAGAAGAAGACCTAAAGTTAAAAATACTTACCCATAATTATTACACAGGAGTTGAAGTTTAATTCTTTCCACCGCGAAAGGAGTCTATTTATCTGGCCCTGGTATATTATTTAAAACCCTTAAATATATACCTCGCTGCCAAATAAATACGATTATCCCTTATTTAATTAAGGAGATCAATTCAACGCCAACGAAAACTATTCAAGCCACGACACAATTAACTCTCGACACGAGCCGGATTACCCTCAACAAGTCTCCCATCTCGACTCGAGAGTTGGGGGCTTAATGATATACCTAATTGGGCCGGCCCAATGGGCCCCAATTTATCTAATAATTAGGTCCACTACACGAAAACCCAAGCACCTTCAAAATAAGGCTTGGGCCCAACAAAGTATGCCCAACCCAATCAACAGCATATAAATAGATGTTTTACTCATTTGTTAAGGTACGTTTTGATTATTCACCAACAATCCAAAGTTTTATTCTCTCTACTATCTTTACGATCCGTACATCTGACTTGAGCGTCGGAGGGGTTTCCGCCGGATCAACCCCCGGCTTAGTTCACGTGTGCTCATTTCGCAGGGACCTCAGGATCATCAAGTTGTCAAGCTACTGATCCGCTTTGCTCTCCCAACTCATTTTCTATACTACCCTAGGTGATCTAAGTAATTAGGATCATCACAAGCGTATGCCAAAAAAAAAATAAGAAAGAAAAAAATATATATATATATAAGAAGACAAACAAATGCAATAATGCCGAAGAAGCGACGGTGGAAAAATGAAGGCATGCAGCAGCTGTGCTATAGAAATGGACTAGTCTATATATTGTGTGCCGTGCGTTTTTCTCCAAGAGTTGGGACAAGGCATGCTGCGCCAGAGCCACCTACCTGCACCCTCTCTCGTGCCGCCCTCACACCCTATTTTTACTCTCTCTCTCATTTACATGCTCTCAAGTTTCAACTTCGTGGTGGGTCCCATACCAACATCTTCTATCACCTTTTTTTTTTTTTTTTTTTTGGAACGTTACTCTATGTTTAGTTTGTGTTATCCAATTGCATGCATTCCTACATGTAGAGTTACTGTATGATTGGCTGTGGGTTCCTTTGTTACCAAAAAAAAGTACTGCAATTTTCAAAAGGGAAAAAAAATCGTTGACTACTTGCTAATCCTTCGGGGCATCCTAAGTGGATACTCAAAACTCAACGAGGCTCCATATTTTAGCATATACATATTAATTAATTAATTAAAAAAAAATAGCATCATTTAATTTTTTTATTTTTGTTGTTAAAATTTTATTTCTTTTTACTTTAAATAATTATTTTGTTCGGCAAAAACATCACTTTTTATTTATTAATTAATTTCTTAGTTGAGATATTTATAAAATTTAAGATAATGCAAATAAAAAATCTCATCCATTAAGCCATAATAATATTTTAATATTAAATAAATTAATTATAAGTTAATTTCAAAATTAATTTTGTAGAACCTCTCATTGGAGAAAGATGACTTTTTTTAGAGACCTTATTCTTTAAACGAGTCTCTAAAATGAAATTTGGAAACTTATTTTGCTTACTGTATAGATCTTCACACATTTAAGAATAAAATAAGATTTAATTTACCAATGCACGATTTCCCAAATATAAATCTAAAGTCAACTCATTTAATTACTATTTCTTTTAGTACTATAATAGAATTTATCGTTTTCTATATGACGATTATTTGCAGTCCATTTAGCTCGTGTTGATGCGGGGTATTATCGGTAATTTGGTATCATTGCAATTTACAAGCGTCACATAATAACTTGAATTAAAGAGCATGTTTATTTTTTTTCTTCTTCTTTTTTCCTTTGAAAGTGAATGAAGAAAAATAGTTTTCCACAATGAAATGTTGACTTATTAATTTTGGGTGGATGGAGTATGTTCTCCCCATCCAGCGGTTCAATTGCACGAAAAATGCATCCAATCAAGTTGTCTCGAATTATTCAGTAACAAAAAACAAGTCCAATATGTAGTTAGTGAAGTCCGATTAAGCTCGATCTCTACCATTCAGAATGTAGATTGATGTGTCGCGAACACTATGTACAAACATGAACCCAATCCGAAGGTTAGATTATTCGATATGGCCTCCGCAAGAAAATCGCTACTTCTTGAAAAGGAAACGGACTGAATGAGGAGGTTGCGGATATGGAGGAAGGTTTGGAGGAATTGGAGGTGGAGAGGGTCAAGCATCGGAAGAGGGAAGGGGTTACATTTACGTGAAACCGGCCGGGTTGAAATTATGTTGAAGAACCGTATGGGATTATTTGAGAGGTGGTGGGTTTGTGCGGGTGAAATGAGAGTGCGGAGATATGAAAATGGAGAAAAAGAGGGAGTGTAAATGATTTATCACCGATTTTTTATTTTTTTTTATCTCAACCCATTTTTGTATTTTTCTCTTCTAATTTTGAATTGCTGGCACAATAACACCTCATGGCGTAGGATAATTTATCATCGATTTCCATGATTCAATATGAAGCCGCTCTTAACCACGACCTAATTTATGTCTTTTGTGAACCAACTGGGTGATTAGGGGTGATTATATTGCCCATCACCCCTTACCAACCGGACCAAAAGAGGCTAAACATATATATAACATATATGGAACAAAATACATAAATATAAAGTATTGTAATTCACCCTACCTACATATACTTTAATCACATTGATATATGTGATATTTCGGTATTGTTTATAAGAAGTCCTTATACAAATAGATACAAACAAAACAAGTACTTAACTAGAATGAAAAAGTCACATAGTACAATCTCCAACCTCTAGCTATACTAGTAAGTAATAACCACCACAATTTCTTGGATGAAACTAAGGAAACAAAAAACAAAAACAAAAAAATAAAAATAAAAATAAAATTCAATTCTTGGTTGGAAGAAACTCAATAAACTGATGATTAGGGGTAAATCGGGTCGAAATATCGCGAATTCCCACTTCCTCGCGAGTGCCCAAATCGGTGCTCCGAATCGGAAACAACTGCAAAAGAGTCCGAGTTTCTCTCGTCGTCTCCGTCAACGATGATGATTTCTCATCTTCAAGAAAATTGATGTCGTCAATCTTGGGGGACAACAATATGCTGAGATTTAGTGATGAATTAGTAGTAGTAGTAGCAAAGGGTGGTTTGTGATTATTATGTTCTCTCTCTAGAGCTGGATTTTGGGCAGCAGTATGAAGAATTGTGTCTAATTTCCAGCAGGAGCTTTCATTCTTTGCTGTAGTAACATTAATCTTGTTCTGACGCAAATGTGTCCACTCATCTTTCTTACATTCTGCTATCGCTGTTCCATATTGCATTGATGCTGCAGAATCCTGTAAAATATAGTAAAAATTAAATTAAATAGTAATATATTATTGCAATAAATTAAATTAAATTAAATAAATAAAAGAGGTGAGAGAGTGCACGTTGCCCGAGAAATTCTAATTAACACTTTTCAAATAGTAACAGCCCCAACAGAAAGTAGATGAGAATTGGCAGCTTTTTAGCCTCAAACAATTCTCTTTTCCATCATACATACAAACACACCTTTTTCTTTTTTCTTATTTGCATTCAATTTTTCGACCTTCATATATATCATATTATTGGGCCATAATTTTTCGTATCGTTATGTGTCTTATAAGTTGTGACTCGGATTCCGAGTTTTGTGCAAACAGCGAATATTCGTTTTCTTTTTTCAATTTCCACTTAATATAAATCATTACAAAATTATTGGTCAATCGACCCACTTTCGACCTGCTTTTATTAGCCGATAATTTTTTCGGCTAATAATTTTATTGTCGGACTGATAATTTTAACTGATCCATATATAAATGGGTCGGTCGATAGTTTTCAATTTAATCAAAAGTTGGTTGCTTGGGTAGTATCGGCCAACCAACTTTTTTAATATTTTTTTTATTATAAATATTTAATTGTAATTTTTATTTTTTTAACGTGAAATAATATATAAAAGAAGCCCAGACATAAAAACTCGAAACACAAATTTATTAAACCTCTACGTATTATTATTTTATAATTCTTATTTATTATATATTTACTTCTTGAAGTTTAATAAAAAAAAAGCTCTTAATTTTAAAGTTTAGATTTTTGCAATATAAGTTTTCTCAAAAATTTAAATTCCTTCTAACTTTTTTTAAAAAACATCTTACTATTATAAATTTTTTTAATTTTAAAAATGAATAAATAAATGGCTGACAATACAATACCTCCAACAGACCCATAATGGTCGGATCGATAATGGATTTTAATATTCAACCAAACCGGTTGGTGGGGTTGGGTCGGATCGGGTAATTAGCTGATAATTACCCGACCCATGCCCAGTCGGCCAACCCTACTTCATCCTATCGTCGAAGTTAAAGTGGATTTTTTATTTTTACTTGGACATTTATAAAATCTAAAATAACAAGTAATAAATGAAATAATTATATCGCTAAAGTAACAGTTAATAAGAAATGGAGCTAGTACAATTTTATCATTATTTATTATTTCACAAAAAAATTGGTAATGTACGTAAATATAAATAAATGTTACCTCTGAATTAGGTGCGCTGCAGTTTGAGGGTGTAGACAACTTCTTATGATGTTCGATTTCGAAATATCTCCTGCTCATTAATCCTGCTAAATCAAACCACAGGTTTGGAAATTCTGAATTAAAAAAATAAAATAAATAATTACAGTATAAAAAATTGTCTGTAAATCATGAAAGAAGACAAGACGTACAGTTTGTTTAAAAAAAAAAAAAAGACAAGACGTACAGTATTAATAAATATTAATCTATTAAAACATAAAAATTTGATCCCGTTAGATCCTGATCTAGTCTGCAGTAATTTTGACTTTTTTGTTTTTATAAGTATGCATAATAAAATGAAAGTAAATGAATTAATATGTATTATTATTATTTTAATATGTGAATTAATTACCTGTTTGGTTTTTCCGGGCAGGGTGGAGTTGTAGGTCAAGCTGACGGCGTTTTTTCTGCCTCTCTCTAGCTTTGTGGTTCTGGAACCAGTAAAACACGTTTTTGCCTTCAATTTTACCAAACCTTCTTAGTTTAGCAGCTATTTGTTGAATTTGTTCGGCAGAAGGTGTTCTCGTTCCACGCTTGTACATTTCTTCAAGTGCCTGCAGTTGTTCTGGTGTAGGGTTCCATCTCGTGCTTACCAACGGCATCGTCTGTATCTCTCTCTTCACTCCGTATTCACTCATCCCACCTACAATTTTAAAACAATATATATAATCTCAATATATATAAAATCAAGAAAATTATAAGAAGATTTATTTGAAATATGTATATACTTATTTGATGGTTCCAAGGGAGTATATTAGGGTTGTGAATGCAACAACAAGAGGGATTTGATATCGTCGAAAAATGGCTGCAGCTACTAATCGGCCTCGGCATCAACGGCCGGAGCTTCCGATCGGCCTCCGCCATCCACATTTTCTCTGTGTGTGTGTGTGTGTGTGTGTGTATGTTTTGAGTGGGGAGATTTGAAATTGAGTGTACTAGTAAGGTAATATATATCAGATTAAAAAGATGTGCATGGTACAGGTAAAAAATGCATGGAAGTGCATATATATAAATATATATAGTTGAAAAAAAGCTATAATATAGCAATCAATAAAGTGAAATTTCTCCAATCTCAAGAAATTGTAGACAATAGGGTTTCTCAGTTTCAGAGAAAAAGACTTGACAATGAAAACAAAGGAGAAAAATACAGATTGTTGAGAGAGAAAGATTTACAAAAGAGAGAAATGAATAAAAGTAGAGAGAGAGTACTGGGATATATATATATTAATGTTTGGTTTTACAACAACAAAGAACAATGCACTGATCAGTTATAGGTTGACCCATGCTATATATATATTAATTTTAATTGTTTTTATCTGGTTGGTTACGCTTATATGTATGTATGTAATGAGAGAACAGATGATACACACACTAAAGCACACAAACATACACACAGAGACGACAGAAAGGTGAAAAAAGGACAAAAGGGGGACAAAGAATTAATTACCAAAAAAAAAAAAGGAAAAAAAGAAAAAGGAAGGGAGGCGTGAAATTCTGGGAGAAATAATTTAAGGGTGGGAAAATAGATAGATACATAAAAGCGACGTGACAATGATGATGAGATTATGAGAAGTGTGTCATTGGGAATTCAATGTCTTGTTGCCTACCTTTTTACACTTAGCTTCTATACCTACACATTCTCTTCCCTACTTCTACATTATATTTTATTATATAATATATATATATATATATGCATGGTAAGGTCGGCCCCCACCCCCACCCTCCTTGCCTCGTTCCTTTCATATTCTCTCTCTAGATCTCTCTCTCTCTCTCTCTCTCTCTCTCTCTCTCTCTCTCTCTCTCTCTCTCTATAAATGGTTTTGATTTTCTAGTAGATCCGTTAGCAATTAATTATATATGTATTCACACGTCAATTTGAGCAACCACACCAATAACAGAATTATGACATGTTCATCCTAAAAGTTTATGAAATGTAAGGGGGGCATTTGCTTATTATGTTGAAAGTTTAAGGGATGATGCGCACAAAGTTTGAAATTGAAGGGGTCTGAAATGTTATTTACCCTTTGTTTTAGTTCATGATTACTATCTCCATTTTCATATTAAGTGTCACTTTGAACATATAACTTTTTCTCATATTGAGGGTCACTGCGCTTTATAATTTCAAGGTAGGATAGTTTTTTTGTTTTTTTTTTCTTTTCCACGTTACCATAACATTATAAAGCGAAAAAAAGAAGATGAAAAGGTACAAATGGGTAAATTTGTGAAATTAATAAAGGCTAATGAGTAACATACTTAATTAGTGTCCAACAACCTTAAACGACACTTAATATAATATGAAATGGAGGTAGTAGTTTTTTGGCGTTCGAATATTAAAACCAACTTTTGTTTTTGTTTCTATAAAAGTAAATTGTTTTAAGCTATAATCTTCAAAACATGTATGAGTTAGGTGGTGTTTTTAACAACTTTTAAAAAGTGATTATGAGTTACTTTTTGGTTTATAATCACTTTTGAAGTGTTTGCAATACCAACTTTTGCTTCTACTTTTCTTAAAATAAGTTGGTTTAAGTCGATATATAAAAAGCACCAACTTCTCCAAAATAAGTTGATGGGAATTATTTTTTCATGAAATTTGCAAACACTCCTAACATTTTGAAATAAACACTTCTTATCAACTTAACTTATAATCATCAACTTCTATTTTTTGAAAAAACTTTTGCAAACACGACTTTAGTTCCGATGGTCTGAAAGCACTTATAAAAGCAACTACCAGTAATATATTTGACACTTTGGCACCCTTATTTTGTTTCTGTCTATTTTTTATAGGGATTATTAGCAAGACCCCCTCATCTAGGAAATTTAGTCAAGGAAAACCCTCCTCCCAAAAATAATTAGAGAAAACTCATTTACTATTAATATAAGCCTCATCACAATTTTAATTACCCAATATACCCTTCCATAAACCTAGTCTTGTTATTATTTTCTCTCTCTTTTTCAAGTGTCGACCGCATCGTGAGCAGATCCCATCCTCCCGTCGTTTTTTGCTCTCATTCACGCCGCTCTTACAAACCTCCAAAACTAGAAAATCCTCGACCAAAATTTGACCGCAAAAAAAGATATCGCCGGAGAAGAAGATCGGACTCTTCACCGGCTCCGTTCGCATCTAGAAACATATTGACCATCCTAGATCTATCGTTGGATAATCTTTGTAGATCCATCGTCGTTAGTTTGTAGATTCATTCTCGGACAATCATCGTCAGACGTTCAACAGGTATGAAAAACTCTTGTGTTTTAGTGACAAGATTTTTTTGCAAAGTGGATTGATTTTAATTATGTTTTTCGTTTTTTTTTAATTATGTTTTTCGGTTGTGTGCGAGGCCATCATCAAGGAGGAGATTGTGAAGAATGTGCTCAAGATTGATTTTGCTTCATTGGTGGAGCTTTCATTGGTGGAGCTGAACATGCTCTAGAACCTGACGGGTTCGGCCATGGCAGGAGCTCTGGATGGTGTGGTGACGATGGGGAGGCTGATTTTGAGTTTTTTTTTGGAACGGACGGAGGACGGCGCGTGTAGAGAATTCCGCGCAGGCTGAAACCTTAATCGACTATGTACATGTTCATAGTCGATTAAGCTAATCGACTATGTTCTGGTAGCTGATTAAGGTTGATTAACTCCAGTTCTTCTTCTTTTTTTTTTTGGATTTTTTGTTTATTGATTTCAATTGTATAAATCATTTATAATTTTTGTATATTTTTTGGTTTTGTACTATGTAGTTGATTTTGCATTTTTTTGCTGTTGTGATTTGTTATTTTTAGTAGCAGATTCTTAATCGACTATGCTTCACATCATAGTCGATTAATATGCTTCATTGACTCCAATTTTTATTTATTTTTTTGGATTGTTTGTTTATTGATTCCAATTGATAAATCAATTATAATGCTTGTATATTGTTTGTTTTTGTAAAATATAGTTGAATTTGCATCTTTGTAGTTGTGATTGTATTTTAGTAGTCCGTTCCTAATCGACTATAGTTCATCATAGTCATTAATATGCTTCATAGTCGATTAACATCCCTGATAGAGAAAGAATTAAAAAAACGAAAAAAAAAATTAAAAAAAAATTAAAATAAAATTATAATAAAATTAATAATAATAATAATAATAATAATAATAATAATAATAATATATATATATATATATATATATAATAATAATAATAATAATAATAATAATAATAATAATAATTATTATTATAATAATAATAATAATAATTATAATAATAATAATAATATACAAAAAAAAAAAAAGAGAGAGAGAGAGAGAAAGACACGGTCATGGGAATAATGGGCTGATGGGTCATGGGGATAGTGGGCTGATGGGTCATGGAGATGTGTAAGGTGGAGGGACATAAATGGAAAAATTGATGGCTGAAATTTGGTGTGGGTTTTTCTCAAATAGTGCAAAATAATTTGGGTATTTCTTTATAAAAAGAAGTATTGAGGGGTTTATATCAAAGAGCCCCATTTTTATATGAATATTTTAGACATTTCATCGAGTAAACAAAAAACTAAAATTGATTCCCAAACACTTAAAACTTATAAATTGCATGTTTAAAGTTGATTTTTTTAAGGATTAATTTGCAAACATCACAACTTTGGAAGTAATTAAGCATTTATTATCAATTTTACTCACCATCACCAACTTTTATTTATCCAAAAACTTTTGCAAAAACCTCTTATAGTAAAATTAAGAGACCTGTTATAGGCCGCATGTGTATTACTTAACTGGTTCCCAAAAGGTAAATTGGTACAAGTTCTAAAATCAAGTATTAACAACCGCAGCGTGAAAATTACAATTCTAATGAGAATTGGTTTCTTGTGGCCACCAGACTAAAATCCGCTACTCTAATAGACTGGTAAGTAATCATGATTTATATTTATTCATCAAATTAGCCTATCAAGTTATAGGATGGCCCGGGAGGGAGATATTTCGCCATTTTTAATGCAAAAAAGACCTGCTTATAAACTGTAATATATATGGGCTACTTATTATTCATATAGAGGACCAGGCCATATCTCTTTTACAAAAAAATCCAGACAAAGTCCAGAACTGTGTCAAAAACTAAAATACTATCACATTTTAATATGTTCCAATTTCATCTCTTTAATCTAATTTAATCTCAGTTGGACCATAAATTTCTCCAATTATTCAATTTTGACCCCTAATCCAATTTTGACCATCGCCGCTGGCCAGCCGCTGTTGACCGCCCTTCAATTTTTTTTCTTTACTTTCTGCTACTGCTGCCGCTGACCGACAGTAAACGCCGGTCACCGTTGAAGTTGACTTTTTTTTTTCTTTTCCTGAACATTTTTTGGCCCTCGTAATAAACATTAATATTATTGTGGTTGAGAACATATTAACTATATTACTATTTAACACAGTCATATTGTTATATTACTATCTAGCATAATAATATTAACACAACAAAATCACTATGTTACATAATAAATTATTGTATGATGCAATAATATTATTATGCTGGCCAATCAACAAAGACAAACATAATAAAAATTCAAAAAAACTAATATTATTGTAGTTGATAGTAATATTAGTAATATTATTGTAACGACAATAATATTATTTTTTAACAGTAATTTTACTGAACGACAGTAATATTGCTGTCACCGATTAGCGGCGGACGAGATAAAACATTTTTTTTCTAAAAAAAAAATAGTAGATGCCGGAGATCGACGCTGACCGCCGGTCAATGCCGTAAACCGCAAAAAAAAAACAAGAAAAGAAAAAAAAAATTCAACGCCGAAGATCGGCATTGACCGCTGGTCAACGCTGAAAATCCACGGCAGAAAAAAAGAAAATAAAAATGAGAAGGTCAAAATTGATTTTTTTTTTATTTATCAAAATTGATGAATTTAAAGTTAAATTGGAATTATGAATTATGTTTAAATTATTGATGATAATTTTGTCATATACCTTAAGTTTACCTCTATTTATAAGACACATTAAAAAGATAACTTATTCGCAAAAGAGATATAAAACCTAAACCTAGAATAATAAAAATGGTTTATCCGTGACCTCCTCACAAAACCCCAATATATATTGTCTATCTTCTAACTGATTATAAGATGACAACCCAATTATTACATATGTTGGATGAGGTGTTAACACACACACAACACACAACACACAACACGTACATTTATCATAATTTTCCGGTTC